ATTCCCCCACAGAACAATCCACGGCGACCTTACTACTGATAGTGTTTTTGGGACAACATATTTTCAAAACAATTGTAATTTTACTGTGAAATGTTATAAAATTGCATTATCATTCTCTTTTTTGCTAATATTGTACAACTTATTGAAGTCACAATACCATCTTTCACCCAGAAGAAAGGCCTGCGAGCCCACTCACTGCACACTTGAGTGTCATGACAACTGTGTCATAACAAGGCCTGGATGGTATTCAGAAAAGAGAAAACAGCAGGTGACAGTGGAGAGAGGTTTTTATTCGGTGCCCTGCAGAGTGGAAGGGTAGCACCAAAGATACCAATAGGAATAGTTCAGGGACTCCATTCGTTTATAGTTCAGTGCCATGTTACTTATCAAGGAATGCATTTTTTGCATAATGGCAGATCCATCTGTTGTTCAGATAAGCAGCTTCTGCTGCCCTGTCTTTGTTTTTTATTGCAAGTATAACAAGGGACTGTCTCCAGCCTGACTTTTGGGGCCATTGTTTAGTCTTTATTCCTTGAAGAACTGGGTTTTGATGCTGTCATGAAGTCAGAAGTCTCAAGTCTGACCTCCAGCTGACATTGCAAAAATAGTGCCTAGTTGTTATACCTCTGCCCTATGGAAGTTAAGGCGTGGATCAGCGTGTGGAGCATGGCTGCGAGGACTGAGGGGCACGGGGAAGTTTGTTCAACTTCAGAGGCAACAGCCTCTTGCTTTCTTGAACACTAAGTTCACCCACAGCTTCCCAGCAAAACGAGAGACTTGCTAATACTTTGTGTGGATGCGGGTGATGAAGAACCAAGCCTTCAAACATAGTTTATCAAAGGCAATTTGGACTTTGTCATATTGAACATCTCTGCAACTATAATTTTTTCTTCATTCAGTCTGTAAATAAAATAAAACTCATTTGTTCCTTAATTTTTTTAATCAGTGAATCATTGGAAAAAGTGATCTTGCCATGGGATTTCATAGGTCAGGAGACTGTTTTCTGCAAAGTGGTAGGAAGGAAAGAACCAGAGCAAAGTCTTTTTTTACATTTGTTTTTCCTCAGTCTACATACCAAAATCTTGCCACTTAGCATGTGTTTCTCTTTTGTTAACTTTTCTTAACCACATAGAGTAAAAGGCTTGGCTTTCAATAAAAATATTCAAAACAGTAAATTCGGTAGGGGGTCATTTTGAAATAATCACAATATGTGAGCACCTTGCAACCGTGGAGCTCAGCTGGCTTTGGGGAATGCGAGATGTGCCAGTACAGTGCATGCACTCAAACACCCATTGTACACAGGGGTATTGCACTCGCTGTGGCTAATCAGCGCATGGGGGATAATGATAAAATGTTGGAAAATGAAGACAGGAAATCTAGCAGGACTTCAGTATGGTCAAGCTTCTTCCCAAACTATTAAGGTCACTTAAGGTGTTTTCCTAGTAAGTTAGGAAACTGATCCATTTAGTTTCTGCCTGTGTTGGGTAATGCTGCTTTGTTCTTGGTTCCCGGTTTGCCTTGCAGGTAATCTGGCTGAAACAAACCAGAGCTACTTAGCTGCTTTTCCTTAGCTTACAGAGACTGAAGCTGAGCTGTTCACTTCACACAACTCGGTTTTGTAAAGGTGGGGGCTTACAGGTGAGGGAGTGGGCGGCATTTTCAGAATCACTTTTTATTGTGGACATATGTAGTAATATATCCTATTAGCACAGGCAATGACCTGGTCACAGCATGGTCTTAAAAGGCAGGGTAAGTGCTACTGGACAGGTTTTCTGTTATTACTGATTGGGCCTTTAAAGGTAATCCGATAATACAGCGATTACTGTGTGCTTGGTTGGTGTCGTGTTGGCAAAAGTTGTTTTATTGCTTTGTTTCAACGTAGTGGCCTGGGTGTTCCTGAGCCCCTTCTGTTTTGGTAACGCCTGCGGACCATGTGCATCGGTATGTGCTTTTCTGTGCTCTGTTTTTCTTATGATGTTATTGTAAATAACGCAATGTTCCACATACCCTGCCGCTACCTGAGAGAGACCTGTGGGTCAGCTCTGCAGAAACTCAGCGAGCCACTTAAAACAATCGTTTTTCTTCTTCATCTGCAAAGCAGGGATTTAGTCTTTAGAAACCATATCAAACAGATGGCTGCTGCAGCATGCCCAGAAGATCACCGAATTTGGACTATTTTGGATCAAAGAGTAAATTCCAGGTCCCTGGTGCGTGCCATGAGAACGCCTTGCCAGCTGCCTGGTCTGCGTGAACGCAAGAGTGATCGGGCATGAGTGCCCTTGCTGGCTGCAGCCGTGACGATACGGCACGGGGGAGAGAGCGCTGAACCCACCTCGCTGGGGGGAGGCAAACGGGTGGGGGTTTGTTTGTTTTGAGTGGCTGTTGCAAGAGCAGGAAGTGTTCCCTACTCAGATGTAATGGTAGCCATACAGGATGTTTCTGCAGGACTAATCTAGATGCTTCTGCTTTAATTTAGTAGTGCTCCAGCCAGAAATGAAATCCCATTGTTGCAGATGCTGTACAAGTGGAGAGTACCTGACCTGGAGTGCTTATTAACGGAACAAAGGCAGCCACAGGAAGACTCTGAAGTGACATTTTTAGAGGGCTGGGTGGCAGAAGATTTGAAGGTTATTGCCTCAAATCAGCCCACGTTACCTGGTTTCATCCCTTTTCTTGCATGGGTTTCATGCTGCGTTTCATACCAGACGTTTCCCTATATGAGTAGGGCTGGCTGGTGCTTTCCCAGCCGCAGCCCCAACGTCAGGTCTCGCTATGGAGCCCCGGAGGCCGACCTCCCTTGGTCCCCGGTGCGCTCCCTTCTCTGGAGGCTGCGGGAGCCTTGCCCAAGTGATGGAAGAGCTACGGGCGCCAGTAGGGCTGTGGCACGAGCTGCCTTCCCTTGCTGGGCATGGGCAGACGTGAGACTTTCAGCGTCGTTAGCATGCATTCGCGACCGCCTGCTCAGGATCTCGGTGCTGACGAGGCAAACGGGGCACATTCAGAGTTACTCCTGCAAAGGAATGATGAACTAGCCCAGGGCAAAGTGCAGGGCTGCTACTTCTGTGCACGGACTCTGAAGCAACGGGGCAAAAGAGTGACACAGTGGCTCATTTGTGAAGGCTTTGTGAGGAAGGTGAAAGGTTGAGCGGCAGCATTTGAGGTCTGCTAAATACAGCTTCATTTCTGTAGATGTTTCCAGTGCGTGCCCAGTGGCTTACTGCTAAGCCAGGTCTCTCCCTGGGCTGGCATGGGGGTAGCTGTTTCTGTTGGAGAAGAGAGTTTAAGCGGAGGAGGTCAGGTTGACGCTGGGTTCCCTGCTGGACTTGCAGACCTTGAAACTCCGACTTTCTGCTCAGTTCAATTCGTTATTAAAGGCATAGATGAAGTGTTGGCTTTCATCAGCTTTTCCCCTTCTCTTTTCCTCTTACAGATCTGAAGAGGTGCGTCCTCTTGGCTCTTTTAAGTACTTACAGTTTCTAGAATGAATTGGGAAGAGACAAAAAAAAACCCCAGTCCTCAAGCATTCAGATCTTCTGGAGTGGTTTTATTCTTTCCCCCGTAGCAGCTCCTGCTGCTTCTCAAGGCAGCTCTCTGGGCTGTACGAACCGGCCCAGCCCCGGGTAACGGAGATGCTGTGCACAGCGGTGAGCTGTGCGCTTGTGCACGTAACCGGCACGGCTGCAGGTGTGAAGGCAGCCCGCCGGGGGGGCCGGGC